TTTTATTCTGCCAGTTTTCTTTTTTTTCTTGATTCTTTACTAGAATTCTCTAATACTCTTTTGAAAACTCTTTCCTCCTGATAAATTTCATAGGTAATCCTTTCTTTGTCTAAATATGTTTGCAAAGATTTGGTACCTGCTAATTTAAAAATGTAAGGAGCAATTTTTTCACCTTGTTCTTTCTTCAGAATACTTCTAATGGTGCTGTAATTCTTGGGTTCCATGGTAGATCTGATGTAAATTAATTTCATATTAACTATTTTTGTCTAGACAAATATCATGATTGTAATACAATTGTGATGTTAAACAAACACTATTGATCTCTGAAATCATTGGTAACACTGATGTTCACTTTGTCTGGTTTGTTGCAGTATGCCCCATATAAAAGAATTTGATGAATTTTTTTTTAATAAAAAATGATTACTAGAGCAAATGACTAACCTGGAAGATGTAGTAACAAAAAAATGAAGATATAACATGATTAAAATATAAATTAATTACGGAGATTGAAATCAATGAATCATTGTCTGAAGAGAATGAACAATTAAAAAAAAATAAATGTAAAATCTGCTTGGACAAGTCTATAACACATTATTTCATACCATATAACACTTGATTGTATGTGAAGATTGTTCAAAGAAAGTTAATAATTGCATTATGTGTAGAGTAAAGATCAAAAGCACCACTAGAATATATATTTAGTTTCCTTTTAGTTGAGATGGGACCTGCAAATTTCATGGATAGGTTACTGCCACAGCTGGGTCAAATTCATATATAAATTAAATTTTATTTTATTATTATAGAAAGGATATAGTGCTTGAAAAAAAAATTATCAGATGTATTCCAATGTTCAATTGGAAATCTAAAAGTGATCAGACAGTAGTCACTAAAATTGCCTATGTTGCTGAACTAAAATATGATTTCTTTTACCAACTTCTATTGCAGAAAGATATGGATGGATCTTCTTCAACAATATTTTCAACAGCTAGCGATGGTAAAAAACTTGTACTTGATGATTCAAAACTTTCAGGAAAGCAAATTTTAAAAGTTAATTGTAGAATGACCTCAGCTTTTCATTCAATCAATTGAGCCTCCTTCTCTTACTGGGTTGAATGTTAATGGCAATTCTAAAACTTTTAATGTTACTTTGGCTAAAGATGACTCTGCAACTAGGAAGTTGCAACCCCAAAAAATATTGACATCTAATGCTGCAACTGTCTGTAGCTGTCTGTAATTGCCTGCAACCTCTGGTTGGTCAGTTACTTCAATCACTATAAAACTAAAATTTATTTTATCAAAAAAAATTTGCAGACAGTTGCAAAGGTTGCAACTCGAGCTTTAAAACCTGCAATTGCAGAAAATGTGAAAACAGTTACAGACACCAACTTTGATAAGGACCAATAGAGAGGTCCCTGCTTTGCGATCAAACCAAACCAACTTACTGTGGTAATCACGTGATCAACACATCATTTCCAATTTTAATATTATATTTTGTGTAACGGCTGCGCCATAAATTGCGCAGTGTTACACTAAAAAATCATTCCTATTCATATTTCTATTTATATTTATTAACTACTGATTTGCGAATGAATCAGAGAAATGATTGACATTTTAATATAAAATTTTTGTGCTAATTGTTATTAATAAAATAAGAAAATTCCCAAATCTCACCATCCTCAGATATTAACTCTCATGTCTACACAAAAAGTATAAAGAACAACCTTAGAATTCTTTCAAGATTGTTGAATACTACTTTAAAATTCTTTTGCAGTTATTTTATTGAATTGACTTATAACAACATGTGGTTCATTTGGTAAACCAATAAAAAAAAATGTATAGCTCTGGACAGAATACTTGATAATGTTGGCTGAAAATTAAAAAATTCCAAATTTTTATATGTTGTGAACTTCTTGAAATCTCAGCTTTCTACATATAAATGGTTTCAAGAAACATTCCAAGCCCTTTAATATTTTGATACAATAATCTATGAGATTTACTTTATACATACATAAAAAGAATAAAGTTTGTAATACCAAAACATCATACCTTATTATTTGTTAAACATTGTCAACTGATATTTTTTACCATTTTTGCACTGCCAATCACTATAAGAATTCTCTACTTCATTCATGGATTGTCAATTAATCTATTCAGCTGATGTAAATATTTATTTCGAATTATTAATCATAATTTTGTATTGCTCAGTTGACCCAAATATTTATTTAGCATTAATAGGCATATTTTATTGGGAAAAATGGAGTAAAAGTCATGTTTTCTGTAATACCCCAGGAGGTATAAAAGAACTTGGTTTAGACCAAGTTGGAATCATCATGTTCACATAACAATCTTTTAATTATTGATCTAATAATTAATACTTTCCTAACACCACCATTGTATTATCACTAATAAAATACATAACATAAAAATCTTGGCCTTTGATATAATTAATAAACTGCCAAAGGAAAACCTTTGCTTAACTCAGCAAGAAACCACAATTTTAACTATTGAAATATATTTCAAGGGGACACCTTCTGGGTATAGTTAGCTATACAATACTAGGGACCTTTTATCCAGGTGAGTAGGCCATAAGGTAAAAGAATATTAAATAGGAAACTTGAATTACATGCTTGCACCATCAAATTCAAAAACACAAAGTTTATTTTGAAACTACCATGATTAAAGACGTAAATTTAAAATTTTCAGATTTTTAAATTCTTGAGTTTTTTTAAAAAAAAAATTCTCATTTTTTTTTAGTGTGATGACAATGATTCTATTGAATGTGATCTGGTGGTTCTTTTAAAATTCAATTATTAATAAAGAAAACAAAATTACAATTGACACTTATATTGGTGATCATGATTTTTAATTTTTAAAATAATTTATATTTATTTTTAAATTTTTTTTTTTTGTCATGTTAAGTAATTTTATTAATAATAGAAACATCATACAACCTACTCAACTCACTCTCTATTTTACATTGAAATAGAAGAATGCAACTTTACCACTGTAAGCTCTACATAAAGCAGGTGATTCAATAATCACACAATTAAGATTAACAAAATAACTTATATTTATTTGGATTTTTGATTGCATATTAATATTTTTGTTTTATTTGTAGATTTAATTGGAATTATTAAAACTATAGATGTCTCACATGATATTTTTATACAAACAACAAAAAAAAATGTATTTATCTTTCTTTACATATTTTATTAAATTTTTTTTTATTGATCTATGAAAATTCATGTTCTTTTTTAAAATTATCTGTAGGTATGTAGACAAATTATCAGCATAGCTGATAAAGATAATAATGAAGTTAAGATAACATTATGGGGGAGAGCATGTTACACTTGGGAAGACTTTCCCAAAACAAGATACCCAATACCCTGAAGTCACTTGCAATTCTCAAAGGTTTTTACACACTTGTGTCAAATGTCAAGGTACTATATACCCATTATCATTATAGTTAATATATATAACATCTAAGATTGTGGGCAAAACTCCTCCAGAAATCAATTGACAGAGTTTCAACAGGTTACACATTAATTGTTAATAGAGTTTTGGCAGAGTTTCACATTTGGGGTCTTGTCAATCATCAGAGTTTTGGCAAGGTATATAATAATTGTTCATTAGAGTTTCAACAGAGTTTTGACAGTCACTAAGAGGTTTCAGCAAGCAACCTTAATAACATTTCACTATCATATTCATCTCATTTTAGTTCACATTAAAGACAATTTGTAACCATACAAATGATGTCTCCCTTCCTGATTCATGTGTATATATGGTTCACAAAGCCTATAACCATCATTTACTGCGTCACCCTGGCAAACTTCTCCAAAAAACTCAAACCAAAATTTGAAAATTACTCAAAAAATGATGATATTTTTTGATATAAAGTCATGTGACTTTTAAAATTTCTTAATTTGATTTATTATCAATTTTAATTATCAACAATATTGCTTGAAATTTTTCTATGGGATTTGTATCTCTTTTACTGCATATAAAGCTTCTAAGCCTGTCAATCTATTTCTATAAGCATCCATAAATCTCCAAGACCTGTGAGCAAACTTCCAAATTTTTTGAGAGAAACAGAATTTAATGCCAATGGAACAGTTTTTTCTAATGACTTAAAGGTATAATCATAGTTTTTACAGCCATATTATTTTGCTGCACCCAAATAATTCAATAAAATCAAGTTCACAGTAGAACTTGGGTAAAAAATGACTTTATGACCATAAGATTCAATAATTTCTTCAATTAAAGATTTTTGATTAATAAAGTCAGGTTGAAGTTAAATATTTTTGACATGTGAATTTTTTACAGCTACACAATACCAAATTTAAAAAAGATAATTGTAAATTATCCTAAATTTAGACAAATGTGTTACTGCCAAATCATCTTGAACATAGTAAAATATATGTACTAAAAAGGAATAGAATTCAATAACCAATCAATATTTTGAAAAATCTCTGTTACAATAAAGTTTGAGTCTCAATCTATGCAATAACAGAGTTATTTTTTAAATGATCAACAGAAATGAACTTATATTCTTTCAAGCAAAAATGGTGGTTATAGACTTCACACACCATAGGAAACACAAAAAAAAAATCCAGAATGTGACAAGCAAATGCATATTGTTTGATATACCTACATCAAGCCCAATAAAAAAAAAAGTAAAGAACATGATGATCATTAAATTATAAAATTTTTGATCTGAGTAATATAATCATGATACAACTCAATTTTGAATTTATTCAGTTTATTTCAAATTATTCATTTTATTTGTTATATTAATTTATTGTTCATTTTATTCATGTTTTGTTTTGTTTGTTATTCATTTTTTCAAATTTATAATGAATAAAACAAATAATAATTATTCAATAGAAACCCTATACACTATGACTATTTGCTAGTAGGAAAAAAGTTTTAAACTACTGTTATAAAAAAATAAAAACACTATTATTATTATCACTACAAAGACTATGGATAATACATATTAAGCATGTCAGCTGAAATGGTTTTGAAAAAACTCAATTTCAGCAAGTAATCTTGGATTTACAGCATTCTTCATATTAATAGACATAAAACCCAGGATTTCAACTACTGAGTCAAAGTGTTCAAATAATTTTGGATATAACTTTGGTAATTAAACTATTTCAGCATTTCAAATTTGGCAACAATCATTTATTAAGAGAAGCAATTTTGGCTAGCATGCTTAGTGCATATACTACTATCAGTTATATTGTTGAATTTGTCAATCAATATTCTGGTTGAGTATTTTCAACAATTGATTAAAAATCATCAATAAATTTCTACATTTAATTAATTAGATAATTGGTGTAAACAGTTGGTGGGTAAAACCACCACATCTGTCAATCTGAATAGGATTTTTTTGCAGGTCATCCCTGGATCACCAGCCACAGGAACATCTCTAAATTATTTTGTACTACTAAAGAATGAAAACTTACACCTACCTTAGTTACACAACAAGGTTTTTTAAGATAAGATTTCCTTATTATTTTCTACCAATCATGGGGTTCTAGGTAGGGATGGGAACGGTTCAGTTCGGTTTATAAACCACCAGTTTGGCTAGTGAACCGCACTGACTGGCAATTTACCACTGCAGTCTGAACCATGGTTCAAACCCAAGTTTAACAGCAGTTTTATAATTTTATTGGTAGGGATGGGAATGGTTTGGTTTGGTTCAGTTTGGTTTATAAACTGCCAGTTTGACTAGTGAACTGCACCAATTGACAGTTTACTGATCATGGTTTGAACCGTGGTTCAAACCCAAGTTTAATCATGGTTTTATAATTTTATTGGCCAAGTTAAATTTAAGAATTTTATTTTTTGGTCAAGTTAAATTTAAGAATTTTATTTTTATAATAAAATGAAAAAAATTATTTTTTTAAAAAAACAAATTAATTTGTTCCAATAATCAAACCACTTTTAAACATCATTACTATCTTCTTCATCAGAAAGTTCATATTCTTGACCAATTTTTTCAGAAGTCCAGCTTTTTAAGCATAACAAACCTCATGATGTTTCAGGATCTAGGCAATTCCTTAATTTAGATATTGTCAATCCTGCAACAGAAAAGGATTGTTCACATGGAACTGAGGTAGATTGTATTGCCAAGTGATCCTTTACTAATTCAGATAGAGATGGAAAAGTTTCTTTATGTACACCACCACATGAGGGGATTGCATTCATTTTCTTTTGCTAATAATAAATATTTTTCTACTTCATCATTTGTATGAGTATTATTGATGGTGAGTAACATGTGGATTATTATGATTAATACCCAACTCACTTTTTATTCCTCTTCCAAAAGCTACCATTGCAGATGCATTGTCTGTTGTTATTCCTAATACCTTTTGACACACCTAATTCTTCTAAAAGAATTTTTACAGCATTCACTATATTTTCAGCACTGTGTGATTCATGAAATGGTATAATGTCAAGTAAAAAATGTTTCAGTTTCCATTCATCATTGATATAGTGACAAGTAACCCCAAGAAATGATGTGTGAGAATTTTCAGATGTCCAAATATCCAATGTTAATGATATTTTATTTTTTACATCTTGAATATGGTTTTTAACATGTTGTTGTTGTTTCGTGAATTTTTTGACAATTTGATTTTTAATGTATTTACAACATGGCATTTGGTAAGGTGGATCAAATTTCTTAATCATTTCTATAAAAAAATTATCCTCTACAATAGAAAAAGGTTGCATATTCATAATTATCCAATTGATCATAACTTTAGTTTTCATAAAATTTTCTTTGGGGGATATGGGTTAATTCGTTGAAAATTTAAAGTTGTTTGAACACATCTTTGATATTCATTTGGATGTTTGGTTTTGATGTGATTTTTTAAAGTATCAGTTGAAGTTTTCCCAATTCCACTATATGTAGCTGCACAAACACAACACTTCTGAATTTCATTATTTCTTGTAAAATATTCATCTATTTTTGAAGCAGTTCTAATTATTTGTGAATTATTAGGAATTTGAACAATTGATGATGATGATGATGATGATGGTAATGATGATGATGATGATGATGAAATGGAAGGTACAGGCATAATGTCATGTATTTGAATTGAATTATTGATATCAGGAATTTGGATGAACTATTATGGTATCATTATCAAAAATTTGAATGATTGAAGTAGGTGAAAGTGCAGCATTATCAATTCTTTTGTCAATTGACATTCTTTCAAAAAAAATATTTTTTAAGGAATATATTGGTAAAAAAAAATTAAAATAAACGTAGTTAATTTTTATTGGTCAGGATTACTGAACCAGGGTTTGAACTGGGGTTTAACCGCGGTTGATTAAACCATGGTTTGAAATGTGTAAACCAAACTGCATCGGTTCGGTTTTGAACCACTGGTTGAACTGGTTTGGGTTGAGCCGTTCCCATCCCTATCCATCAGTTCCATCAGCTTGACAGTTTGGTCTGGTTTGGTTTGACTTGTGCTGCCAAGTCGATCAGTTCAGTTCAGTTTGACTTAGACTTTTGAACAGTTTGGCTTGACTTTAGCCTCAAGTCGGACCAAACTGGACCATTAACAACACTACAGCCAATTCAAGATCCCAGATGATTATTTGATTCAGACAAGCTGGGGTAGAGGAAGTTCTAGTCATACTGTACAATGTGAAATTAATTATCTAGAAAAGGCAGCAAATTTCAAAATTTGTTTTGGAGATAACTTTCAAACCTGTGTAAATTCTGCACAATCAGCAACAGATGCAGCAAATGCTTATTTGAAAGTAGGTTTTGAATATTTTATTTCAAACTTTCAAAAGGTAAAGAATCCTAACACAAAAGCTAAACTTTCTAGAGTTCATGTTTTTTGTCTTAATGGTCAAGAATTAGAAAGAAATCATGAAAAAAAACATAGAACATCATTTCACAAACCATTTAATGAGCTAAGTAACAACAAAAATCAAGTGAGCACATGTATTTGGTGAACAAGTGGCAGTTAATTTTAATAATATAGCAATCAATTGTTTTCATCCTGGTGATAATCCAGTATTACAAGAAATCCATTTTTCCATTCAGGGAAAAAATAATTTTCAAGTTAATTTTGAAGCTCAAGATATAGAAAAGGAAAATCAAAGAAATGAGGCATTTACCAAAGTAATTGATCAAGGACCTATTGCATGAAATTCTTATTGAAACCTAGCTGCACTTCAACATGAATTACCATGTGAAAAGACTATTTATAAAACAAAAAAAAAGATTAATGAAGAAATGAACAAATGAACCTGTATCAATTTTGAACATATCAGAGCTTTCACCTCTCAAATCAATTAAAATATATTGGCAAATTACTTTTTATAATTCCAGGTCTTGTAAAAAAACACATCCTTAATCCTGATCACAATGTAGGCAGAAAAGTGAAACATGTAATGGTCACATGTGCTGTTTTGGATGATATTTCAAATATTTACAAGGCTGATTTTCATTACACCACTATTTTATATCCAGGTGTGGAAAATTATGAAATATTACAAAAAGTAATGGAACCAATGATTAATGAATTACATAATTTAGTAACAAATGGTTTAATAGATTCTAATGGAATAAAATGGAGGATTGAACCTTATTTTAGCAGTGATTTGAAATTTTTAACTATTATTTTAGGTTTTAATGCTGCAAATGCTAATTACTTTTGTCCATGGTGCTTGTGCATGAAAAAGGATATAGGTAATAAGGAAAAGGCTTACAAAATTGAAAAAAATATGGATCAATTACAAACTCCAAATCCACCACCTGGACATCTTAAAGTTCCTCTCCTTCCTATGATCCCATTAAATAATTATGTACCTGATGAGCTCCATGTAATGTTAAGAATTTGGAATTGAATGTGGGCCTTAGTAATTCAAGAACTCAAATCCAAAAATCAATTTAATGATCATACTTGAGCAAAAATTATAGATCAAGGAACACAAAACTGGGTTTATACATCATTAATTAATTATTAATTATATATTTGTTTTTGTTTTCTTTGTTTTAAAATTTGCTTAACATCTTGCCATTCACTTTTTCCTACATTGTTTTTGACTTTAGTGAATAATTCAAGGAGAAAACAAGATGCCTTGTTTGTTAATCCTATTAAATCTTTTTTGCAATAAGGATACTTTTTTTGGCAACAAATGAACTTTGAAATATATTATCATGGTGAAGATGGTCAATAATATGAGCTGCTTTTGTAAGTTGTTCATTATTATCTGCTTTTCTAGTTTGTCTTCGAATTAATGAATGATAATTTTCAACTGGATAATCATTAAAAGTCACAAGATGCATTTTAAGAGTATCAATAATAGGATGTTTGATGCTTTCCCAATACCATACATCAGAAAGAAATAATAATGGTGCTTTGTTATAATTTTTTCTTTTAAACTTAGCAAATAAACACCATACTCTCACGCAAGCTTCAATATAATTATCCAAATTTCCTGACCTGAAAATTGCTGAATAAATATCCAAAACTAGAGGAATTGCATCATCTAAAAGGGCTTTCAATGTAAGATATTCAACATCTCTTAAACAAATTGGTTCAATTTTCTCAATAACATATGGTGCAACCTTTCTCCAGGCATCTGACATTATCTGCAACAATTGATTAATTCTCCAAGGACGAGGGTTTTCAGCAAGCTTTTTGCTTGATCCAAAAATATATTTATAAGCAGAATTAAAAAAGCCATGAAATAGCAAAACAACAGTCTCACGACTGTTGAGTGATACATGTAATGGTCCCATTATTGGAATGAAAGACCTAACAAATTCTGGGATGATATCCTTTTGTGATGGATGCTGTTGCATGACAATTGCTCTTCGAGTATGGATTTGGCCTGGCCAGTCAGCAATTAATGGAATAACATTTTTTTGGAGATAATTATGAAATTCTTGAAAAGGTTCAAATACCTTCATGGCTTCAATATATGATTGAGTAGATTTCAATTCTAGATGGATAAAATCTATTAGTAAAGTGTTTTTAAGCTGCCATTCCTCCTTTTTTTCATGAATCTCAGCATCATAACAATAAGAAACAAGACTATCAAATAAGTCATCTTCAGAAAGAGTAAGTTGATTTGCAAACCTATTGTTATATGATTGGGAAAGTAAAGACATGTAACGATTTTCTATTTGGAAAATTAAAGAGTCACAATCAATGAGTAATGGGTTATGTATAGCATCATTTGGAACAGCTCTTGCTTCAGGTATTGGAATAGCAAGGATGGTTGTCATATGATAAACATCACTAGTAGATGTGGTTGTAGGCATTCGTAATCCATGAATATTGTGGTAATCATCAACATTTACATTAATTGCATTGTCCTGATAATTTGAGAGCTCTTTAGCAACATTTTCTCTATGAATCAAGGCTATAGCATTCTTTTCACGTCTATTTTCTCTTGATGATGAACTTAATTGAATACTAGAAAAGGTGTCAATGGCTTGGTTTGTAGTACCAGACTGATCTAAAAACATTGCTATATCCTTTCTTATGGCACTAATTTGTTTATTTCCAATCCCTGCAAGAAAATAACATAAAAAAGACAGGCCTTTCTGCCGCTGTGTGATTGTTTGTTCTGCAAGATTCCTATCATTTGGATTAATTAACTTCTCAAGCATATTTAAAAAAGGTATGAGTTTATCATCTTCAGATTCCAAGCTTTCACGAAGCAATGTCCAATCATAGATTGGTGGTTTATCTTCTTTTTTTTCTCTCTTAAGAAATATTTTTACCATTGATTTAACACTATTAATGAAATCAATTTCATAGATTTTTCCACCATCATTCAATTTATCCTTAGATGTATGTTCACTAATCACATCTACATCTTCTATATCATCAATGATCATGTCTACATCCTCTATATCACCATCATTTTTTTTGTACTCATTCATGATATGGCTCATATAATGTACTTGACAAAACTGAGTAATATTTAACTCCCAGGTTAGATCTAAATTATTGTTCCTTAAAGCTTTTTCTTTAGCATCTTCTGTAAATTTTCAATATTTTATCTCAGGATCTCTTACTCCACAAATAACACATGGTCCATTGTTTTGTTTCCTACTTTTTGGAATTTCCATTTTTTTTAAAATAATTATTTTTATTTTGCACAAGAGAAATAGGTAATTATCAAAATCAGTTGTGATAGTGGCAACTATGTTGATTTAAAAATTTAGAAATTGGAATTATCACAATTTTGGGTTTATCAAGGACTATTAAATAATAGTTTTATTTGTTAAAACTAATTTATTTTTACATGTAATTCAGAGTTCTTTTATACATTTTGTTTAATTATAAGCAATTCCATCATTGATACCCTACTTCGGAATTGGTGTCAAATAATTTTTTTTATATATTCAAATATCGTAACACTATTGAATATCGTAACACTTTCAAATATCTGTGTAATAATTTACGTTATAATATGTAATGATTTATGGAAACAAATTTATACATTTAATTACATGAAATGTTGTTACATTAATAAAAAAAAATAAAGTATATATATATTAATATTATAATTACAATATTATAATATCTGAAAGTGTTAATATTAATTTGAAAGTATTTGAAAGTGTTATGGTATTTGAAAGTGTTACGATATTCGAAAGTGTTATTATTATTATTATTAGAAAGTGTTACAATATTCGAAAGTGTTATTATTATTATTATTATTATTATTATTATTATTATTATGATATTCGAAAGTGTTACGATATTTGAAAGTGTTACGATATTCGAAAGTGTTACGATATTTGAAAGTGTTACGATATTTGAAAGTGTTACGATATTCGAAAGTGTTACGATATTCGAAAGTATTACAATATTTGATATTTATATTCGAAAGTATTATGAATAATAAGAATCGAAATATCATTTCCATAAAATTACACTACTGTTACTGTTATAATGACATTGAATTTTATTTATTTACAAAAAATAGAGATGTTAAATTCACACAATCTATTCGCTATGAAAGGGATTTTTGCAAAAAAAAATTGTAAACCCATATTTTTGCACAATTCTAATTCCCTTATTATTTTTTTTATAATGTGCCTTTATTTCTGTATCTATCACATCACATTTTTTTATGTATAAAATATTTTAACGGCTAAAAACAACTTTTTTTATTATTAATTAATGTCAAAAAATGATTGTGCGCAATTAATGATTTTGTGTAATTGTTAATTTAGTAATGATATTCAAACCAATCAAAATGCTTTTTTATGTGATAAAATCAAAATGTGATTGACGCAAATCATTACCAAATATGCAAATGTCCGCTATGCTAATTTTTTCTAAAAGAAGGAATAAGTCTTGAAAAATCTGTGTCTCGAATTTGGTGGAGATTGGTGAGCAAAAAAGGGTTAAAATTAAGGTTTGTGGCTAATTTTATTAATAAAATTTTGACATTGATCACCAAGAAATTTCGGAAAATACACTTCCCAATCATTTAATGTGACAAATCATTCAACTATTAAGAAAAAATTCAGCAGATTTGCTGATATTTTCCTTTCCCTCTTTGATGACAGTCCTCACTATTCCCATTAAATGATTGGCCTCTTGTTCCGAAAGAAAAAACTTTGCATGAGGAAGACTTGGAGAAGGTGAGACATTGTCCTCACAAAAATCTAGAACACCCCACCAAAGGGGGCTATAACAGAGTAAACATTAGTATATGTTAATATATAATAAATGGATAGATAGTAAATATTTTACTTCTTATAAGCAGATCTATCTTTTTGAATATGGTTGACAGCCTTAACAACAGCAGTATATTCATTTTCTTTCTCATTCACACTGAGTGAATAAAAAACAAAATTCATAATTAGCTAGAATGGCAGATGGTGATAACTATGACCATTCTTTTTAAATAAATAATGGCATACCTTTTAGCATCATCCAATTCTTTTTTTGCTTTTCTTTTAATTGTTGTATATTTCCTATTTGGAAGCATTTTGTTAAGTAAATTAAAGAAAATTATTGTTATTTGATCAAAAATTCTCATAAAATAAAAAGGGGTATTTTTACATGTTTTTATCACCAAAATGCAAACCAATCCAATGAAAATTTGGAATTGTTAAATCTTCATTATCATCAAATGATTTGGCTAGAAAAAAAAAATTAATAATAATAAATTTTAACTAAATCTAATTACCAATTTAGGTAGTAAAGAGCTTAGCTGGCTAAGGATTTTTAAATGGCTAACACTACTATTTAAAATATAATTAATAAATAAATTAAATAAATAAATGAATAAATGAATAAACATATTATTGTTATTGTGTTTACTTACAATATTCAGATTATATCTTGATATCTTTAAAAGGGATCAATTACCTTTATTATTAAAAGTTTATTGATATTAATCAGAGTTTTTCTCTAGTGAAAAAAAAATTTTTATGAAAGACTTTTTTTACCTTATTAACAACAATTTGATTTTTAAATAAGTTAACATCTCTATAAAAGATTTCCCTACTAATCAATCATATAAAAAAGAATATATATTATTTTTATTTTTTTTCTATTTTCCTTTTCTCTTTATCCTCATCTAATGATAATAATATAACAACCTACCTTTTTGTGGCTGTGATGTTTCCTATCAAAAGTTGTTCGCAAATTTCTAATATTTTAGTGATAACTTTTATTGTTTTTTTCTTTTTTTTTCAATAAATATGTAACAATTTCATCATCAATATTTTCTTGATTCTTCAATTCATCAATATTTTTCTTTTTTCTTTCATAATTATTATTTTCCTTAGAACAACCAACAATGACCACACCACTAAAATGATAACTAGAATGACAACAAGTTGTAATGCATCACAACCATTATCATTT